TCCCTCTCTCTCTCTCTCTCTCTCTCTCTTTCTCTCTCTACTCTCTGTCGTCTAGCCCGCTGCGTCCGAAAGCATTGTTGCAGTATCTACACGTCCCGTAATATTGGCTGTATATCACGATTATACCCGGCAAGGTCGTTCGATACATCGAACCGCGGCTCGATCGTATGGACCCCGCCTATATATGGTACGTGGCACGACGTGGTGGTATCGGCCGCGACGGTTTTATGCACACCGTTAGCAAAGCAATGGTCCATTCGGCTCTTTTTCTCTGCAACGTCGGGCAGACTTACTCCCTGTCTCCGAGTAACCTTCCCTTATCTTCCTGATGCACCGCCAACTGATGTGCTCCGCCGCCTCGCCATTTTCCACTTCTCGGTTCGAGAAATTCCGCTCCATCGGTAGACGGATCCTTGCGAATTTTTCTTTTCTTTTTCTTTTTTTTTTTCAAAAAGGAGTTCAGAAGGAAATGGGCGAGGCTTGCGACGTGTTCGACGTAGAGGGTGCAGTAACTTGGTAGATTCTTAGTTCGCACGCTTAGTTATCAACTTGGTTCTCTCAACTTCGCGCGATCGAACTACCGCCGGGAAGTAAGCTGACGACGCGAACCGGTAAATTTCGAAGCGATCAGCAATCGTTTTAATGATTTTTAATATAATTACTATTACTTATTGTAGCACTTAGCTTCGTATAATTAATTGTAATTTAGTATTTAGTGTAATTGATTATTAATTTTGTCATTTTGAATAGTAATTAATTCTATAATTAATTTATTGTAAATAATTATTAGTAATAATAATTGTATTAATAATTCAAAGAGTGCAACATCATTGTTCCAACATGTATTATATATAATAAAGTACCGTACTGTGAACGTGGAATAACTAAAATTCAATATCATCAAGAGAATCTATATACTGCTCATTTCTCATTTTGAAATTATGTATTTCTAAAATAATAATTAGCATTAATAATTCAAAGAGTGCAGAATCATTGTTCCATAATATTATATTGCACTACGAACGCAGAATAATTAATTACAATTCAATCACACGATTAAGAGAATCTATGTACTTCCCATTTCACATTTTGCAATTACGTATTTTTAAAATCTAATGGTAGAATTCGAATTATTGTTCCAATTGCTATTATTACAATGTTATAATATGTTAATATTACAACATAATAATTGTAATAATTATAACACAATATATATTGTTCTATGAACCCAGAATATTTTTTTAAAATTGCATCGTCAAAAGAATTTACTTCTCGTTCCTCATTTTGGAATTACACATTGACGTTGCGCTTTTATTATGAGATTATGCCTCGAGTTTTCGACATCTCTCTCGGTAAAAGTATTACTTTGAGAAATACCCCCTGATTTAAATCCACAGAAACGAATACTGTGTGAATAGTCGGACGTTTTAAATAAACGTGGTCGAAAATCTGATTTTTCGCTGTATAATTATTAACCGTTAACCGAATGTTACTAGCGAAACCCTTCTCGTTCGAAAGAACGATATTTCACACGGATCAGCCAACTAATTTCAGTCGTGATTTGGATTTACGCATCCGATTGTTTTCCTGCTGGAATTATTAGCTTCGATATATCGGATAGCGGCATCGGTTTTCCACGCTTTCATAGTGAATTAGCGCGTGGCAGCGAGTGTCCATGCGAGAAACAAGCAACATCGATGACTGCCGGTGGCTCGGACGAGCGATGCCCGATTAAAACGAAAGTCTCGTTGCGTTCGATTAACCGTGGCTCGATTCTATTATCGTGTAATTCGCGCTTCTGATGTTTCCGGCAACTGAACGTTATGACAACAGCGATTTCGTTGCATCGATCGTCGTTACGCGTATTTTCAGCTAACATCGGCCAATGCTGGTTGTTATTAAAACGAAAACACAGTAACGATGGCTCGCGAATGCCATTTCGAACAATTATCGTAATCATTTTTTTTATTTTTTTATTTTTTTTTTTTACGTGCAAATTCATACTTCTATTGGACACTGTTTCGGATTTAATATTTTTATTGGATGTTCTTTTGGATCCAATGTTTTTATTAGACACTCTTTTCAATCTAATATTTTCACTAGACACTATTTTGGACCCAATTTTTATCACATGCTCTTTTGAATCCAA